AATCTACTGCTTAAGGATATTTACTACTATGTTTGTATACGTCAACATTAAATTTAGTTACCCATTACCAATTTGAAGTGTCATATTTTTTAATATCAGTAATTTGGTAATTTACTACGTTATTTGTTTTGTGACGATTTGAAATAAAATCGAGGCTTGTGTAATATGTTTCACGACAATAGCCGAATGATTAGATTCGAACACGCGACCGCCAGATTAGTAATCCGTACGCTTAACCATTAAGCTATTTGCTAATCGTGTATATAACTGTAATGAAATCTTAGAACTTTAGTTACAAAGCTTTACATATTTACTTCGGGTCTTTCGAAATTCTTTCAAAATGAGCAGATTATAAACATAATATACATAAATTTCCATTAATAACAATTATAATATTGATATAGAATTAAACGTTTGACGCCTGTTTCAGAAATTATTGCGTAAATCTGCCAACTGGAGTGATAAATTACTAATCAAACAATTATTACATACCTATGCTTTGACAAGCAGTGAATATTAATAATTAAATGTACCTGGATGATTATTTTTTTTAAATTGTGTTTTTTGGAAATTATATTTAAGAGCGAATTACTAATAAAATGATGAATTATGAAAAATATTTTTCGATCTTACCGATAGAAAAAGTTAAGTTTATATTTAAGTTGATTATTTAACTGATATATAAACACGGCTAAACACTCACGTATATACGTCCGGTGGTGGCACCGACTAGTTTCGTGCCCATCGGGGGCCCTTCATCAGGATGAGTGGCACTGGTATTATTTCGCGGACGCGGCCCGTCGCTCACTGATTATATATCAGTTTAGTATAATGCCTCACGAAAATTTGAATAATTTAAGTTGATTATCGATAAAAGACGAATAAAATGATATTTTCTAAAAATGGTTCCTATCTAGATCGATCTATCGCCCCCGAAACCCCCTACATATTAAATTCTATGAAAATCATTGGAGCCGATTCCGAGATTCCAATTATATATATACAAGAATTGCTCATTTAAAGATATAAGATATCTATTTAAGCTTATTTTCCAACTTACTGTCAGACTAGTATTTGAAAGGTTTGTATGTTTGTGTGTGTGTAAGTATGTCTATTATGTTTATTCCATTATAACATTTGAGATTGAAATGAGAAAACGAATTACTCTCGAACCTGGATAAGGGAGAAACCAAGAGACCCTGATATATTTTTGCTTATAGAGGTTTCTTGCTTGTCCAGGTTCGTGTGTATAACTATTAGGTTCCGATATTCAATTCAAAATATTAAAATAAAAACATTTCTTAACACATTACATAGAAATCTGACTTTTATATTTTAACTTTTGTGAAATCAAATTGAAGTTAACTAATACGTTTATGCTCTGAATATTTTTATAATTATCAATGTTTCATCACGACTAAACTCTAAAACAATATTAAATATGCAACTAAAATCTAGGAATAGAATTATTTATAAAAGAAAACTAAAATGTACACAGATATGTTTTAGAATAACATTTCTTTGTTGGTTTAAAAGTATAACATTACGTCAATGTCAGCACGCCGACGTAAATATATGACCATAGCAAAATCCCACACACGCTTCCTCTTGCGAATCACATGTTTGTATTATCGTCACGTATAATTAATTATAATTTAAAATACAAAGTACAATATAGGAATGGATCAAGCAAATGAATGACTACAATAATGTTTTTTTTTTCATTTAACGTTGAACTGATTTTCGAAACCAGCCAGTTATGCAAAGTGTATTTAAAAAAATTACTGTTATAATATTTTTTATCTATGTTAAAAGCAATCTAGTATTACTTCTCATTAAACATATAAATATCTGTTGTGGAAATGCTTGGTTGAGGTCAGTTTTTCAAAATTAAAAATTTGTGTGCATAATTTGTGATCACCTGTGTAGTACTTAGACCACGGCGCAAAACAAAATGATTTGCTCTTAGCTTTTTGTGGAAGATCAAAATATAAAGTCTCCGATTTGTATAATACCACTGGCCTTTGAGAAAGAGTCCGTTGTCCTTGACCTTCAGGTTGAAAATTATAATTAAAACTAGGTGTCGCCCGAGACTCCGCCTGCGCGGAATGAAAAAAACTTAATTTGTACCCCATGTGCTCGGAAGTCTGGTAAAACTATGTTCTACACCAATGCCAAATTTCAGCGATCCATGCAGCCGTTCTGGAGATACCTTCTAACAAAGACTATCCATCCATCCATAACCAAACATTCGCATTTATAATATTAATAAGATGGATCAAAAAAAAAAAAGATTGAAAAATAATGTACTTATCAAAAATTTCACAGTGCTATGATAAATATACCACTTTATTCTCATACGTTTTATGTAAAAAACATAAGTATTCTTTTTAAACTTAATGTAAAGTTGTTATGTGTGATAATGATATATGTAGTAAATTATTTAAAAAAAAACACTGTCATGACAAATCCATTAGGTAAAAAAACGGTAAAAAATATGTTAAATCGACAAACATTACTAATGTTATCTTTTCAAGCTGACTTCGCTAAGATACTGCCTTTTTTTATAACAGAAGGGGGCAAACGAGCAGCGGGAACACCGATGTGTTCAACGACGCCTATGGACATCAGCAATACCAGAGGAACCGCAGATGCTTTGCCGGCCTTTGAGGTGGTGATAAGCTCGCTATTATGAAAAATATTTAATAGTATTATTTTAAAATATGTTTAATATACGTAATGTTATAGTTAGTTATGCAAATAATTAATGTGTTTCAAATTAATTTAACATTTTTAACTAAACATTTCTACAACTAAACAGCTTCTTAACGTTACGATGTAAAAGATAACATCGTCTTTTGTTTTTTATTTATTTTATCGTAGGTATTGTAAGTATTTCCGCATTTCTTCTGATGAGTGTTTGTAACGGAGTCAAATTCTTGACCATTTTTCCTTTCCACCCTTTTATAATAAGAAAATGTTGGGAAGGGCAAGTAGATTTGACGAAAGTGGGTTTATCCTGGAAAGAGTAATGTCCTCTTTTTGTACGTCTCAATTCTCTCAACCCTTTATCTTTTCTCCTATTGCAGAAAAATATGGAACTAATTTCTTGCGTACATTGAAATGTGATACAATAATAAAGCTGATTGAAGCGCCTCCAGATCAGAATTTTTACATTCTTGTTACACTATAAACACATATCTGTATTTTTCAAAGAGGAGAGGAATGATTATATTATTATACAATTGGTGTTACGGCAGTAGATACTAATAGTAACTTTTGTGTAATTATTTTTATATAATCAATTTTATATAAGTAAAATTGAGCCATTCAATGAAACTAGGTCATTGTCAACTTAAAGAACTTGTAACGAATAAGTTTAATAACTTAATGAATTAATAACTTCCTTTATTTACTGCCATGTTGATAATTTACTTAATATATCTCGGTGTCATTGAATAATTTAATCTTAAATAATATTATATATTATAAAATTTCTACTTAGAAAATGATACACGACCAAAGAGCATTGTTATGAAGTTTTAAGTTCAAAATTAGTATGACATTTATTATTTATTTTTTGAATTTTTAACTTGAAAAGCGTCATTTAGTGCAAAAATTTAGACACTTGTAAATATAAGTATTTTTTTTAATTACAAATTGATTCGAAATTTAAAATACTTACTTTTGAGCGCCCATCTTTTATTCTGAAGCAAACCATCCAGAAATTTGTATCCCTGTTCCCTGCACGCTCTTTCCTTAACATTTGCAACAGCAGTAGTAAGGGACAACAAGTCGCTCGCAAGCACAACAGACGACGCGTAATCCGGAGACTCCTCGATCGATTTCAATACAGGATTCTCTCCACCTCTCGCACTATCCACATTAGCTATATACGAAAAGTCATCAGCGAGCTTTGCTGCAGTTTTCGCGGTTGTCGTTATCTTTTCTACTAGATTCTTATCTACACCCAATGGATTGATTAATTCTAGTGTCTTTGTAGCCGTGTCAGCTAAAGGGGTTATTCGTTTTAATATTTTCTCTGTTAATTTAGTTTCGTTCACATTTTGTCCTGTGATCGCGCACACGATCGTGAGCAGTATTACTGCGGAGAGCATCGCGGTGCGTGGCGTGCGCGTGCGCCGGCGCCGATACCTAATTACGACTGAGGCGAGCGTAAGCCTTCGAGGAACGATCAATGAAACAGAGCCTCGATACGTTGTCTGCATAACACGAGCCATTTCGCTATTAAAATTGCTTCATTGTCTGTTCGTGGTTGAGCTCCGTCAAGTAACGTATGGCTAAATAGAGAAGTTGGTTTAAAACTTATTACTTTCGTTATTACAATGCAACTGGACAGTTTATATACGTTTTGAGCTTTTTAAATTATGTTAAATACAAACTAATATATTTTAGGTTTAGGTTCCATTTAAAAATAACGAATATTTCTGTTACATTTCCTGTATTATCATTATTCCAGTTATTAAGATGATAACATGGCGATAACAATTTATTCTGTACCTGTAAAAGTTAAAAGTATGGAAATATATTCATGGAACCTTATTCGCAGGGTGACAATTTTCACGTCATAATTTTAATACATTATTTTTGATACGAATATGCTAGAATATTTCTAGATTACGCAGAATTATTTTATAGATTTTTTTATTAATCACGTTTTACTATAAATTACATCGTGATTCACGTTTAACTATTAATATTGTAATTACACATACGATACGGATAGAGTACGTTGCTAAATTGTTTTCAACTATCGTAACTTAAACTATGGTTTATGCAATAACCTACTCATTATTCATATTATATAAGCATCTCGACAAGTTATCGAAGACTTGACAAGACTCCATTCCATTGACGGTATTTAAAAAAATCTACCTTAGCAACTAAATAGGAATACCAAAAAACTGCAGAGATTGACACCGCTCACCTATACTATCCTTTCAATTATGTGAATAAGGTATAAATAAAATAAATTTAAAATTCGCATAAAATTTAATTACACAATAATCGTTATCTCGAGTATCGATAATGTTGAGCTCCACTATGTCCATTGCCATTGCCTGTCACTTCCCAGTCATCAAGATCATCGCTATTTCTAGAAAATGATCTCCTTTGATTGCCCTCATCTCTATTTGTCCAGAAATCCTCATCTTCACCTTGTTCTTCTTCTATTACTTCTAGTTCTTCTTCATTTATACGTTCATTTTCCTCATCCATACCTTCCTCATTTTCTTCCTCTTCTAGAATTTCTTCTAAACTATCATTCGTTCTCTGATGTTCATGTTCCATTTCAACTTCTGGGATTTCTTCTAACACTTCTCGGTGAGCAATAAGCGTTTGTCTATTTCTAATCAAAGGCATTTCTATCACCTTTTCATTCTTTCTTTGGCTTCCTGTTTCTGATTGACACTTTTCTGACTCAGCGGAAACTAACTTTTCCTTTTTACTGTCGCTTGTTTTCGACACTAAGAAAAGAATCTTTGGTAACGATTGCATTGGAATTACAAATGTTAACGTCAACAAAATTGATGATAAAAATATTAAAGATATTTCTTGGACATCAATCTGAAAAAAAGGATTTTCCATTATTCTTATATTCCTTGTAGTACACGAAACAGGGGGTTTAAACAAAGTGCATTTGCTACGTAGCGATTCCATAACGAACTTCAAAAATGTATATCACTGACAATAACTTTCGATCACGTCGCGTCACGTGATTGTCGCGCGTCAATTACATACATTTTTGAAGTTCGCTATGGAATCGCTTCGAAGCGAATGCTTTTTGTCTAACCCCTAAGTACTGTCTTAAGCTCATTAAAGAAGGGTTAGTGATATTATCTTAAATATTTGTGTGGAAATAGCAATGTAGACGAAATAAATTGCAAGACATTATTTAGCTCACACTCACCAGAGACATTAAGGTAAATTCGGTAGCGGTCCTCACTGTAGCTGCATTAGTCAGAAACACAACAAACTGACAGAGATAGAGGGCGTACGAAAGACGACTGATAAGGGTTAATGGACGACTGCAGAGTAAGTTGTGCAGGATATCTGTAAATAAGCAAATACAATCGTAATTTTATAATTTCTAGGAATATTACAAGTAAATAATATTTCGTGTCTTTATATTATTTCTTTTTCTTAAAGAATCTTTCTTCCAAGTAACAAATCCAAAAAAACAAAGAATTTACCAACCAATTATTGACCTTGGATTTTCACAATCAGAGTGTGATGAAATAAAAAAATAAAAACAAAAGCTTTAGCGTAGTGTTTGAAATTTCTGAGCCAAATTCGATAGGTTATTACTTATATTAATTTATTTGTTAGATTTACGATTGAATAGACTTGTTTTCAAAAGCCATGTCTGTGATTTCGGCTTTCATTACTATTTATATATACAGGGTGTCCCAAAAGGTTACGTACATAGGAACGAGGATGATAGGGGTGGTCACAAGGGTCACCAGAAAAATAAAATAAAAATTCCCCTCTGGGTATAAAAAAATGGCATTTTTAAAAAACTTAAAAATTTTACACCTTCTGGAGCAATTTTCATTTTCTTTAAAATCTTTGTTAGTTGTATTGTTTTTTTTTTATTTCATATTGATAAAAGGTTATTGACGATAACATAATAGCTTTTTTTTAATGTAGCAATATTTGTAGGTCATTGGTTACAAAATTGCCCCAGAAGGTGTAAAATTTTTAAGTTTTAAAAAAATGCCCTTTATTTTTTTAATACCCAGAGGGAAAATTTTATTTCATTTTTCTGGTGACCCTCGTGACCACCCCTATCATCCCCCTTCCTATGTACGTAACCTTTTGGAACACCCTGTATTTCAATAATGCTGAATTTCCCTAAGTTGAAATCTTAATGAGATAAATATGGATCAAATATCACCAACAAAACTCCAATTTATTTTCAAACAGGCTCATGCCAAGTAATTAAATTAGCGAAACGTTGGGAACAATTTAATGGAAACCGATGTTTATTTTAGTTGCAAATGGTTTCCGCGTTTCCTAACCAGATTTAGTTTCGTTCTGTTGTAACACTGACCACAATGACCGCCGTGGACTGCGTATATGAGCCAGGCGATTGCCAAAGCGGAGGCGATGGGTGCCAACGCGGCGTACTGTGCAGCGAATGTTGAGCTGTATCGGTACTGAGTTGATCCAGAATCGAAGCCCGCCCACCATACAGAGCACCATAGCGCACCGCTGATTAACCATCCAAATGCTAGTAATATCTGAAAAAAAAAACGTTACACAGTTTTATAAAATAAAACAGAAGTGGAATTTTAGATTTATTTCCATTTTAAATCTTGACCTCAAATGTGTTAAATCGGTTGTCGTGTTCGTGTCTATAAGATGAAGTAGTTATTGTGTCCTTTTTCCTAAATAATAGAAAATCTATCGATATCCGCAAAATTATTCATCATATTACACCTCTTGAAAAGGAACACCCATTGTTATAATGTTTCTCATTGACGTGTCTGGCATAATCTTTCTTCACACTTTATACTTAGTATGATGATGGATCAAAATCAAATAAAACCATATTCAAATACAACGCATGGCTTCTGCAATCTCTCAAGCGAGCCGCCCCCTGAGCCGGTATCGCGACAATATTTCACCGCTGGCGGCTTGCCTACAATCTCGGAGCTTGCGGTTTTAGGAGAAATACATTAGTGCATACGTCATTTAACTCAACACATAAGAGATTAAGATACTAAAGCCGCAAGCCGCCTAATGTATGTCTCTAACGACCGACAGCTTAGTGGTCAGTGATATCCAGTTATGTCAGAAATTATATTTGTTTTATACTTCCAGCGTTCATTAGTAAACTCAAAAGCATCTCCAGTTTACAGATTGAAATCTCTTATGACTGAATATACTATTACATTTGGTTTAAAGTAAAGTCATATTTAACTGTAGAATATTGGAACTACAAGCGCGGAGTAAAGAAACTTAATAAAGTTATAAAGTAATAATTTCGTTATAAATATAACAAAACGTTCAAAGAAACTATCGAGGTTCATCGAAGTGTTTGTTTAGCGAACTGTAAATATCGTTGATTCTATAATAGTTCGAGTGAAGCTGAACTACGTACTTTGCTATGACGTGTATTGTTCTTGAGAGCGAGCCCGAGGCTTAGCCCGAGCAAGTAGGGAGAGGCGCGGTGGATCACAGAAGTGTAACTCAGCCGTGCCGTCCGGTACAGTTGGCTTACGCTGAAAACGAAAAGAAAAATAATAAAGCTATTGTATTGTATTTCAAATGGTATTTCAAGCGGAAATTATTTCCAACGATACAACAAAAGAATTTCATACGTATTAGTTCTTACATGTGCAAAGATTTAGTTCATATTTCATTAGCCTCGCAACATCATTTTATTGCTCAATATTCTTTTTAAATATATGGAAACCGCATTCAATTTAAACAACTGTTACGTAAAACAGTATTAACATTTATATTGATTTTTATCGTTTTAAATTTTTTATGAGTCTGACATTAGCCGCAAAGCCGTAATGGTGGTCTTAAGTTTTATCATGGTTTAATGTTTCACTAATACTTGATGACCTCGACCGATCTGAAAAGACTGCAACAGCGAAGAAGAAGACGAATATTTTCAAGATTACATATTTACTTCCAAGGGCCTCTTTCCCTTTTTTATAGGAGAAGTTTTTTTTATAGGAAATTGTTTGATCCGACGCCCATGGACATCCGCAACGCCAGAGGGACCGCAGATGCGTTGCTGGCCTTTAAGGAAGGCGTGTCCTTGCATCTCCTAGAGCAGCTTATGCTCTTAATTCCGCATCATATAACCCAGATATTGCTGTTCCTTTATACTTCTTAATATTATTATTTTTCCATATGTATTTTTTTCAAAGGGGTAATACGTATATTCGTGATATGACTAAGACTCTCTTGGTGATATCGTGTCGTCGCTCGCCGCAGCTTCCGGTAGCCGGCGGCAAGGCTCGCTCGTCGTACACTTTGAATATAAATCAATTCATAACATTCGCTTTGATCAAACTTATACATTTGTTTTACCGTGTACAAAAAAAAACATACAGACGAATTGAGAACCACCAATTTTTTGAAGTCGGTTAAATATATACTCAAAATAAAAGACATGACAATGTCTAAATAACTGCCTGACAAATAATTTAACTCTACTAATGTCGAACAAGGTTCGTTCAAGGAAATATAAAATAAATAATAGTAGACTCAGATGAAGATGTCATGGACAGAGCGAAGTGGAAGAGACAGATTGGGAAAGCTGAACCCACCACTTTTTGGGATTCAAGCTAGGCAGAGAGAGAGAGAGAGACTATTGCCGTCAATAATAAGTGATTAGCTTATTAAATACTACTAGCTTATTAAGTTTACAATAAAGAAGCTTAGATCGGTAGGATTTAAAGATAAGATAAAACAAAGGATAAAAGATGCCGAGTACGTTCTCTAAAATTTTTAAACAGGTTAAACAAAGTAATTTCCTACCTACATTGTGTATCGCAGTTGTAACATCGAATCTAAGATCTTCAGTTTTAAATCAAATAACCTTATTCACTACATATTTGATTTTTATAAGTATTAGATATTACGTAATAATATGTTAAGAAAGAAATGCGTATTTTCATTTGAAGTCAAGAGGTTTTTTTCTTAAATCTGTCACAGACTTTTTTTTATTAGTATTTTTAGATGTTGCAAATCATTTATCCTTTAGATGTATCTATTATATTAACCGTATAATAACAGCGACCAAAGTGGTTGAAATGGGACGTGACGTATATTTTCCACATTATGTGGTACTCCAGTATAGTTCAGAGAAATACGAAATGGATTGCGCAGATGTAGACGGTTAATGGATCAAATTAATAAGTAACATTTATTTATTTAAAGGTCGACCTTTTACTAGGAACAACTCAAAGAGGTGTAGGTTAATAAGCAGACAAAATATCTTATTATAATAGTCAAATTACCTAACTCCGTGATAAGCCAGTAGCGTGAGGCGATGTTCCTTCGTTGTCCGGTATCTGGAGAAAGCAGTCCATACGTGAAGCGTGGGTAGCAGTGCGCGTAGCATAGGCAGCTCCGATTGCATCGCCCACACCACCACACCGCCCAGGACCGACAGCTGCATGTCTAGTGCCAGCTGGTGGGTTTGTGGGGCGCACTGGAACAACAGTACTAAAGGTTATCGTGCACTTATGTGACTTAGAAAAGCAGCAAACTATTTAAGCGGGTACACATAATCTTAGTAGAACGGTAATTTAAAGATAAATTCTTACATTTTGATGACCGTTGTTGGTCATACAGGAATTGAGTTTGTCTTAATTAATCTTAATTAAAGTTAAATGTGGTCCCTTTCTTTCCAAGTTCTTTTGTCTTTTGATGGTTTTACCGATTTACTGAATATTGATAAATAGTAATTTTGTATTTAAAAATAGATTTTATATTTAAAAGCTTCGATATCACATTCACGCTCATTATTTAGAAAGGTTGGAAAAAACTAGCGATTTCCGGTTTTTACTTTACTGACACATTCATACATCAACGCCTACATGTTCGGCAGTTGGACATTTCCTAATGAATAGCCGATCGTTTCGTGATCACTTATCTTATTGAAAGGTCAAGACTATTTTATTAAAACGTAAAAGTAATTAGTTTTAAATAAATCTTAAGAGTAAAGCAAGAAATGTCTGAAACGGCTGGTTCGATTTTAATGGAACTTACTGTGGGTTTCTGAGATCAAAATCCCAGTTTAAAACGTAATGTTATCTCTGATAAACATGACGACATGTTTTACACAGATATTTTGGTCTCCGAACTAACGGTTAGTGGTAAACGTAGCTAATGCACGCGGTTATAATGTAAGCTACTTTTTTTTTTAATTCAGCGTTGACGAAGTTGGGGGCGACTGCCAGTGATATGAAGGTGCTTGATGTTTTTTTTTTTCGTAAATCTTAGCTTACTATCATTATGTTGAGTAATTCTTTCTTTATTCTGAGAGCGTCATCGGAATAATCGGTACAACTAGCTTGCGCCAGTTCTGTAGAGATCATTACGAGAATGCAAACGGCTTCATTACACAAGACGTAGCTTATACACAATTTTTTTGGAGTAGTTTATTTAGGAAATTGCGTAATGTATTCCAACAGCACACAATGCATGACTAGCAACTACCAATAAAAACAACATAAAAATAAAATAAATCAGATTAAAATTCTTACCGCGAGTTGAAAATAAAATATTAAATAAAAGGACTTTTCATGGAGAAAAACTCCATGCTTTAATATTATTTCAGAATAATTAAAGAGATTAATTTAAGCTTATTAAGAATAAAAATTGAATTACACTGACCATATCCTCGAACCCGAAGTAATTCTGCAGATAGAAGACGTTCCACCACCAGCCTTGTTGACAGACTTCCGCGTTCTTAGTGACGAGTGAGCCCCACATGGGACCTACGGAGATGTTATCCCAAATATACGCGTAGAATAATATCACAGCTAACAAAGCAGGAGTCAGTCTGAAACAAAGGAATATTCAAAAACCTGTAATTTAACCTTCCAAAATGTTATTAACTGACCTTGAAGAGTAGTCTGTAGAAATAAAAAAAAAGTAAAATCGAAATGACTTTTTAAAATATTTAACTTAATGTCTACGTTTTTCCACGCATATATTGATTTCTAAGAACTTGTTTTATTACCCTTACCGTAGAATTCCACTAGTCTTTTCTTTTCTTTAAAAAAATACTACAATATATATTATTACAAATGTCACAGCAGTGTAACTCTACGGTTACATTATCAAATATTTAGTACCTAAATACACTTTAAATATAACCCTTTAGACTTAATCGATTAGTTATTTTATATTTTGTCAGTTCCTTAAAATTAAGTGCTGAAATGTCAAACATTAACACACAAATCATTTATTATCATCGATTACTAAAAAAGTATTGAACAAAGCAAAAGATAAGATTCTTTTATTATTTTTTATGAACAATACCTTAACTTTACATTAGCCCTAATGTACGACATGTTACAACTCAGAGTGTTATTCCTCGTCAACTCATGTGTTTTATTTATTGACTTACGGTTGTTCGCGACTTATCGGCATAGAATTGAAAAAAAAACAAGTAACCTATAAAATGCCCGTGTGCATAAGCTACCTTCCCGCCAAAGTCCCGTTAAAATCGGTCTTGTCGTTCTGGAGATAAACATGAAATGAAATATCAATATTCATCGTGGATTTCCATAGACGAACCATTCATAGGAATGCATATTTTTACCTTACTTCTTTCAAAGAATATGAGGGGGATAACAACATGTTTTCGTAAAAGTTTACTAACAGTGACAACCCACGCTTTTGACAAATCTTTGAATTAAATAAATAAAACATCTAGCGGTTCAGGAAAAAACTCAAATGCGTTATGTAGGAACTAATTTAAGGTACCTTGTATGCGTAACATAATTTTTAAAAGTTTATATTTGCTTAGAAATATTTTAAATAAAATAAGGTCGAGTGTCGATTTTAATTTTTTAATCGAAGTTAGATTAAAGTCAATCAAATTATATCAAGTTGGTAGTTATTTTATAATTTTGAAACTGAAATTATTCATAATATTTCTTGAATCGTATCAGAACTCACTATACTACATCAGAATCTTCTGTCGCATCCAGAACAGCAATTTATCGTACGCTGTTAACGTCATCTGCGACCAACCAGTAATTACCGACTTCATAATCGATCATGACAACTTATCAATTTTAATTAGTTATGTGAATAAGAAAATGTAGCAGCGCGTTAATTTTAAGCGCCTGAAAGAAATTAATGGCAAGCTGTTTCAATGTAAAATTTGCCTCAGTGGTGAAACAGGTAATAGAATAATAAAATATGATTGTATTTATTAGGAATCGCATCAGTGGCGTATATAATATTATCTCCAACAGAAATTACTCATATATTACCTTAAATATCTGAACAAAATTCTCTTAAATGCTCCAGATTCGTTGTCATTTGCTATACGATGCGCTGTGAGCGTCCCGCTCAACAACAAGAAGCAATCAGTGTACATCCAACCAGCACGGCACCACGACCACAGGGGAGAGCTTACCACCTGGACGTAAAGAACCAGGTAAAATAACACATAAGGGTAAAAAATAATTTTATATGGTTAAAGCTGATATAGTGCACTTTACAAAGAAGAAAAATAATGAACAATTACTATTGAATAATATGATACGTTACTACTAAGTGTTAAGTATTTGTAAGGATGAAGTTGTAGATATATTTTCGGGTTTATTGGAGGTAACACGTAGGAACTGATGACAAGGACGGTGTAACACTTATAAGGTGTCTTCAAGTTATTGGACGTAAGTATAAACAGTAAAAATAAATTAAAATTGAACTTAGCATAGGGACAAATTATGACTATATCATAAAAGTCGTTTAAATCTGTTATTATATTTGTATAAACTGATATATAAACACGGCTAAACACTCACGTATATAGGTCCGGTGGCGGCACCGACTAGTTTCGAGCCCATCGGGGGCCCTTCATCAGGATGAGTGGCACTGGTATTATTTCGCGGACGCGGCCCGTCGCTCACTACTAGAAAATAGTCGGTGCCGCCACCGGACGTATATACGTGAGTGTTTAGTCGTGTTTATATATCAGTTTAGTATGTCTCACGAAAGTTTGAATAATTTAATATATTTGTGTAAAATTTAATTTTAATTTTATCACTGTATTTTATGGTAAAAATTATAACATATCGTGTTTCAGTATATTTGCAGACGCTAATTCAACCGCTACCGTTGAATAAGAAAGTTATTACAAGGCATGCAATTACCAACCATATTCGCATCGGAATTACAGGCCATTAAGTTAATAAAATTACTCCGTAAACCGAGTTAGTAGTTTTGATTATGGAACAAAACTATCATAAGTAGTCAACCTTACTGGGTTTTGAATATGATTATGTTGTATTTAGTTATTTTTAACGTGAAGTTTGTGCGTATCACTCAAAGGGTGTATCAACACAAGCTTTGTAAGTTTACAAATATCATACTTATATATGAAACCTAATTATTAGTCAAAATAATCAGGTCTAATTAAAATATTTTAATGTACTCAAACCCTAGACATCTATTCCCGTCCACACTCCTTAACTTTGTTTATGCATTTACTTTTATTTCATTTATCTTACTAATATTATAAATGCTAATGTTAAGATGAGTGGATGGATATTTGTTTGAAGGTATCTTCACACCTGCAGAACGGATCTCGATTAAATTTGTCATACGTATAGAACATAGTGTGGAAGAACACATAGGCGACTAAATATGTTTTTTTTTAAATTCCGCGTGGATAGAGTCTCAGGCGACCGATAGTTTACCTTATGTATTCATAAACTACGGCGATTATTATTTTTCCTTTGAGTCAAATTATTTCTGCAAAGCTTATTATAAAATAAATAATATGATAAGGGAATGAATCAAGGTAAAGATCTAAAGTCGTATAAATGCCAATAAAGAGTTTACTGTCTGTTGTCTAAGTCCAGATTAAGTATAAATGTTTTATCTGTATCGAGCAATGATCGCCGGGCTTCATTGTTACGACAGGCTTTGATGGCAGACGACTAGGATCCCTCGACGTATTTTACGATACTTACAGATGTCAGATTAAAGAGTAGAATCAAAACTTTTTCGCTTTCGCCCGTTCAGTTTAACATAAACAAAAAACTAGAAGTTTCGCAGATAAACAAAGTTTTCGCATTGCCAAACACAATTTTGTTGCACGGGCCAGATACGGCAAATAACAATCTGGCGACGATCCAACGTTTCAGAGCATAAGCGCGATGTCTTTCGTTATAATCCAACGTTTTAGTCTTATTTATGAGGCATTGGTTTCTTGATTTATTTTGAGTTATGTTTTGTTGTTCGCTGACCACAAGGATGATTGCTATAGATCCAGGATTTGTGGCATAGTATGAGATAATAGAAATCGATTACTTTATATCAGAAACTTACAAATAACACCTTAAAATTGTAAGGCTATCTACAGTTCTTTAATTGGTTTATACACCTTACATTTTTAAAAACAAACGAACTTCCAAATTTATACTTCAAAGAGAGAATTTTCTTGGGAAATATAACAAAATGCGTTATTAACATAAATAACCTGCCTTATTTGTGCGGTGAATTTGAACAAAACGATGATTCATTTATGAATTCAGGTGCACATTTATGAATTGAGCTGTACATTTATTCTAAAACGAATTCAAATTTAAGCGGACCAGCAATTAGTCAATTTAGTATGAGAGGCACGTATACACGTGTACCAGGACCTCTAAAACTCACCGAAACAATTACAAACTAGTTTCGTTCAAATCCCGGGACGGATGTAATTTAATGAGCAAAAAATAAAAACTAAAAATATAAATATTCAGCCCCTGTCAAAGTTAAATATCAAATTACCGTTTAACAATATTTGCTTTTTTCACTGTTGCGTATTTTAATAACATGTCTCTACATTTCAAAATTATAATGAATGAATGAATTGATGACAAATTACTACTTCAAAATGACATTTACGAAAAATAGATTAATTATCGAGGAGTTTTTAGCAGATTATTATCAAGTAGTAACACACTGGTTTCCATTTTACAAACCTCAGTTATCATAAGCCTGTTGGTGTAAGGCGTAGAAGCAACAGGTAGAAACTTATGAGCGATGAGGAGAGCGACGGTGGCGATGGCTCGCACTCCATGGATGCAGGAGATCTCATCTGTCGTCGCCGGTGCCATCAGCTTGCGAACAGTGCGGTACAATGAAAACACGCTTATTGCGTTCTCGCCTGAAACGAATGAAATGATTATTTACTTTCGAACTTCATAAAAAACAATTGAACATTTGACATAACAAAATTAGCGAGTGTTTTGTTTTTAATCCTCAGTGAGTTTAAGATATTATTTTGTAGTTAATTTTGTTAGAAATTGAAAAGCATTATGGTAAGTTCTGAAATAAATTTAACCATTTAAATTTGGTCAATTATTCTGAATACCAACAAAGAATAACGAACGACGAATTAAAAGGCGGATGAACCACATCAACATAATGGTTGAATTTAAATATTTATCTTTTTCTTTAGGCACACTGCGCACAGAATCGGCCCTTGTTATTCCATTATATAGAATTCGAAAGAACTCAATTCAAAAGCTCCGGATGAAAAAAAGCTCATAAATAAACAAGAATAAATCAAGAAATAAGTCATGCTTAAATTTGACGTGAGGCAGAAGTGTCGACGAAGGCAATTTGCATAACAAATTACGTCGCTCGTTGATTTAGAAAAGAAATCGACTTCGAAACTTAGTCGTTTTCTAACGACCAAATTTGTTTATGAAAACAAACTTCGTAACACAAACACAAGTGTGAAATGAATTATATTTTTGTTTTTATTTGTCATTCAAAGTTTGAAAGGCGGGAACGTAATTAGGCGGATCATTTTATAAATACTTTATAGGCTTCTACAAAATTATTACAGATGTATTCATTAGTAAAAAATATGCATTTATTCATGTGAAATTAAAAAAAAAATAGGGCATAGGTATTATTTATATTTAACTTTCAACTTGACCTAAAAGTATAATTTCGATTTTGATACCTAGATCATTAGTAAAGGTGTTAATTTAAATTAGACTCTTAATGGGCGAGATATTTGATGCATTGCCTCGTTAATTAATATATGTATTTGTCGTATCCATCAGTTTGATTGCATTTAATATCAATTTAATTTCGATTTGTATATTGTTTACTCAGAGTGATTTTTATTAACGAAACGAGGCATTTTCATAAATTATCGCTGAACCCCAAGCATCCGTTCGACCTTAACCCACTTTGTTTCGACAACGAGTCGCGGTTCTCCGGCCCGTTTGCGATTCAAATCGACTCCGAATACCGATGACACGTTAATTAACATATATTACGTATACAAGTCTGGTCCAGGCAATATTGCACCGGGCTCGGTCACGTACACTAATCGTTCGAAATCAATGGACATGCGACATAATTTTCGATACGGCGTTCGTGACCCCTGATCATTTGATTTACTGGCCGAAGCCGAACGGATTGATGTAATTAAGAAACAATAAACAATGTTGGGTTCATTGAAACGATCACGTTTCACACATTAGTTACTTTTAATGACACATTAGATTCAACTTTGAATAGCAACAATAATCTAACCGTGGGTTACTGGGGCCAAAATCCGCCTTTAAAACATATTGATATCTCTGTTTTCTCATAGATAATAACAGGGATGCCGATATGTTTTCTACACCGATTTTAGCATCGAAAACCTACAGTAAGAGATACATACCAAGATTTATCCAAGAACTTAATATTTTATGAATGCATTGAGTTTTGATGTCTAGACGTGTCAATAAATGAAGTTTACCTAAGCGATTCAATTTTGCGAATAAGTTAAAATCATTAAAACGATTTACACGAGTTTATTTTCGCCATGTGTGAGTTCTATCATTAGCTCAGGATGACTCACAATCCACCTTGAACTGGAACCATAGACTAAATAAAACTAACATAAAACTAAGCATCAGTGGTGCAATTGTTTAATGTCGTCCAATGGAATAGTACCATACGTTTAGTAAACAAGAGTTTAAAAGTGTGTATGGCGAAATCAGCGTAAATTTTAATAAACATACAATATCATCCAGTAGTATAATGTCCACGTGAAATAATTATTTGACAAACACATTCTTACCTTCAGTCTTCTTAACTTGTGTATCTTTCGCCCCTTTTTTGTCGCCTTCATCTTCTGCTTTACCATTGGTTTCCTCATCCTTTCTTCTCGCAGCAAAATCTTGTGCCGTAGCAACTAAAACCAGTAACAAGACCACGCCGTACAAAAACCTGAAAACAGAAAGTTCATTTCATTACTACATATTAATTATTACTTACTCAACGCAGAAAACCCTTCGTTAGGGATGTACATGAGTTCATGACTATTTATTAAATGTTTATTAGGTCATAACTTACAAAGTGACAAGAGTTGGTATCCCAAGCCAGTCTTCCCACCACGCTTGTTTCTTCTGCACGTGACAATCCTGCTCATCGACTCTAACTCTGATAGACACTCCACTAGTATATTGGTAGTGTTTGATCGCATCCCTCACTATATTCTCCACGTCTTCTGGGCTACAGGGCGCGGGAACGCACACGCCCCAACTCAACGTTGAGAAACGCGGTACGAAGTGACCTGGCTGAACGAGTCATTATAAGAATTAAGATTTACTTTTCTATTTTTTTAGGAAGGTTCCGTATCTGGTATAAAAATCATACTCACATCATCAATCCGACTCTTGATCAAGTTTTTAGATTGCGCCAAATGAACTGGAATTTCCATTTCTTGGTGTTCAGATTTCAGATCAACACGAGCCAAACAATACTTTCCATGAACCTTTACTATGCTCCCAGTATCGAGTTGAACCCGTGCACGGCTCCCCAAACACTGGTCGAAGCTACCCAGTTGAATACCATTGCCGTGGAGTATTCCCGAGGGAACCTTTGCAGTTGCGTCAAGCACTGAAAATAAACACCTTTAAATGTACCTAATGGTCCTTCGAGGCTAATTAAGTATTCTCTGATTAATTATTAACCAAGGTAATGTGGTTTTAGAATGCTTCACATGTTTAGCTTATTTACCTTTCTATTACATTTTTTTACATTTATATTTTCAAGAGAAGTGAGAGAGGTGAGTCACGACCGCGGTCCGTGGTTTTTGCCTATCCCTCTGGGTTACCGGTGTGACGTGTGTTGTTGGAATTTTTATGAAAATTAAAAAAAAATGAAGGTACTCATAATAAAGAACTCAATATAGAATAAAAACTTATGAAGTTTACCATTAGGTAAATGTAAAACTTCGATACGATGTAAACTACATTACATGACATACATATGGTTTCTCTTAATTGTCAAAGGAAAATAAATCAGAAAAGTCTTTAATATTTTAAAAACAAAAACTGATAATTTATAATACTTACTGCTCAATGCCCACAACTTTGCTCCACGTAATTGTCTTAGAAGTATTTGTCCATGACGCCTGCACTCAGGATTTTGTACGCGTGTGAAGTTTGGCGCAAAAGTCGGCAAAAAAGCGTAAAAATCTGCAAATTCACTTTTAAGTAAATTTCGTCTGTGCAGAGATTCTGTAATATGCTTTAGTCGGCTATCTTCTTGACTCTCAATTTTGCAATCGTTGAACGGCATCTCTTTTGATACGGCTTCAGGTTTTATTTGATCTTTATTTTTTTTATTTTTGACGTCAATTGTTGGTTTCGTGTCTTTCGTTACTTCTTTAATTACCTTATGTGTCTTGATTTCATCGGTTTGGAAAGGTTCTTGTTTCTGTACTTTACGATCTTCTTCTTTGTCAACCACTTCTTCGGTGCTTGATTTCTTGATTTTAACATCTTTAAGAACCTTTTCTACTACTACAGTTTCTTTATTTTTTTCTTTAAGAACAACTTTTTCCTTTGCTTTCTTTTCAGCAATATTACTGCGGTCTTCTTTTTTAATTTCAGAAGTCAATGAATGTGCAGTCTTTATTTCTTTTGGCAGTGCTTTGTCTTTCACCCCTGACTTGCTTATTTTCACTTGCTTTAAAGGCGTTTCAACTTCTCGAGAGCTTAAACCAACTTTACTAAGTTTATCTTTAAGCTCCACTTTAGTATTGATAAAGCCACTGTCGTTACTATCGTTGTCTTCGTCATCACCATCATCGCCTTCTTCGTCGTCATTAATAAAATCTATTCGGACGCTGGTACTTTTCTTTTTTATTACTCCAGTCGTCTTTTGAATAGAATCGTCATCGTCATCGTCATCGTCGTCATCTTCGTTCTCGCTATCTGTTTTTCTATCTACCTTAATAGTATTTTTAATAAAATTATCTTTAACAGCAGTATCTTTCCTCTTGTTAATTATTTTTGTACTTTCTTTTTCACTTTTTAGGTTGGAAGCTTTCTGTTTCTCTTCCCATTTAGAAGCCAAATTTCGTAGATAAATTAAATTTTCATCGTCTTCATCTTCTTCACTTTCATCCTCTATTTCTTCAAGCACTGGTTTAATTTTATCACTTGTCTTTTCCTCAATATGTTTTTTCTTTCCTTGAATAGGTTTATTAAGATCGTCATTAGGACGTTTCACACTTTCAGCTTTGTAAATATGTAATTTGTGATCAAGGTCAAGTTTATTCACTTCACATTCTTCACATTTTGGTTTCTTTTTGAACTCCGAAACACTTTCATGGGAACTTTTTTGGAGATCACGGATGCGGAATGCGGTTATCACTGTCGCGAACAGTATAACAGGTATTATAATTAGAGTAAACGTCCATCTGAGGCGTACCATGGCCGACGCGAGACGCTCACGGCGCCATCATAGATTCGACTGATACGTTTTTCAGCTTCTCGCTGTGAAATTTATTTGTGTCGCGCGCTCTGAACATATCTCATTCAGATATTTGTACTCCATTGGTTTTGTATTAAAACTAACGTGTTGTTTAATTTTCGCTTTATAAAAGATATTTGGCGGTAAAATAACCGTTTCCCGGCTGAAGTTAATTCTAATGTACGGGCACGAGGGCAAGCTTCGTGGCAGCCGTCCAAGATTAGCGTAAAAATAGTGTAGCCGAGGCGATTGTCCGGAGCACAAGGTGATTTGATGTCGGCTGCTTTGATTGCAGTTTTTGTCTTCGGCTTAATCTTTTTCACAGAGTGAATCGCGCTGTTTTAGGGTCGTCTTATTCTGATCCTAATTTCTTTTTACAGTGATTCCGTCCTCTTCTTCGACCTAAGATTTCTTAAATTCTGATTTGAGACATGCAAGTTTGTTAACGTCCTGTGTCCTTAGAGAAATGTAGTTACTTATTAAATGTAATAACTATTATTAAAATATTTTTAGGTTAATGTTGAATTGTAGTAAACATTACTTTTTATCAACTTTTACTTTTAATTTAACTTTTACTAATGTGAAAAAAACAGTGAAGGTCAACGAGGCGGCGGTTAACCCCTAAAGTTGACATGAATGTCATACAAATCGTTATAATTTGTATTCATTGGATTAATGTTAGCTGCATTATGTAAGATATAATTCACGCATGTTGTACAATGATAATGTCAAACGCTGAATCCAGTCCATCAATCTAGTCCATTGCACTAATTCCGAATTAGTGTCACTTAAATAACGCGATTTGCAACGCGTATGGCGCTATTTATGGGTGACAAAAGTGAAATAATAAACAACATAATTGTGTTTAAAGCTTTATGGTAATTTTGAACTAGAAGTTTAATTTTTTTAAACATTAGTAAAATATTGAAACATAAATTGCTTATCGCCACTTCAAATAAGCTAAAAGATTGCTGTGATATGGTTCGTGACAGTAGGATTCGAATCCATGACCGCTTTTAGTTTTCCGTACCCTTAACCACTAGGCTATTGGTAGTTCAATATATGACACAATAATAATTTGAGAACCATATTACTTCAAACTATTGATGATTACCAATTTGCCATCCAATCAACATTTTTCTATTATTTTCCATATGATTAATATTTTTAGAAATTTTGTAATTTTAAAAGTAATAATTATATTTATTGCTAAATGACACTTGTACATTTTGTTGAATTTAAAATGAGATATTTTTAATTGAATGCCAAACATATTCCTACCATCAGGCCAACAAAGGTGAACAGTCAGAAGTGTTGCGTGCTTGTTTAACGCCCTTGTCCGCTGTCGCAATCTAACTACTGGATGTTAATTAGCTATTTGTACAAAACTACACTACATACTTGACTTCAGGGGTTTAGAGTAAATATCTATCAATTATTGATTATTACCTAATGGATGATGGAACTATTGTAAACAAGAATCCACACTTTAATTACCTCGGCTTTTTCTTTGATTCTTGTTTTAAATAATAGAACTAAAAAGGCATATAAATAAAAAAAATATATATTAATCTGTTATATAAAGCCAAAATAAAGAAAACTAGTATTCATGAGCACATTACCCTA